TCACCTACCTGGAAATGCCTATATATAGTTCACCAGGTATTGCATGGAGGAGCATATAAGTTGAAGGATTTGGATGGCAAAGTACATGAAAGGCCAATAAATGGAAGGTACCTTAAAAAATATACACTAACTATTTTTGAACTTATGGAAGAAAAGAAAATCTCCAATAAGTCAAAATAGTTTGGATTATATTTGCCTTTGTGTTTTATGCAAGTTATGTAAAGATGTGATAAGTCTGTTTATGCAATGGATAAAATATCAGCATATTTTAAAGATCAAAATATTATAGTAGCAAGATTGTTCAAAAACCACATTACGTCCCCAAAAAAGGCAAATTGTTCAAGACCATATTACAGACCCATATTAGCAAATTGTCATAAGATCATAAAATGTTCAAGATTATTTAAAGTTTTGATGGAACTCCTCAAATTTGGTTTCGAGACTTGCCCATGATACCCGGGTTTGATTGAGCTTTATTTCTGCCTGTTTCTTGGACTCCTCCAACCTTGGCATTTTTGTCTGAAGTGCTTTGAACCTGGGTGCAGCAACTTCGGTTTGTTTCTTCAAATCTACTTCTTTGTTGCCGAGCTAAAATTTATCTTGTTGAAGCTGAGCTAGTTCTGCTTGAAGTTTTTTCTCCCTGGCATCCAGATCAGCAGCTTCTTTCTTCAAGGATAGATGTAGTTCTCTTCCACATTTTAAAGACTGAGAAAAAAGTTCTTTTTCTTGTATTTGAGCAGCACAATGGTTTATAGCTTAAGTTGACTCAGCATAAGCAGTGATCATAGAAGGAACTTAAAGTTGGAAATTCTTGAAAAAGGATTAATCTTTCAAAGAAAATCCTGGGTAGCTACTCAGAAAGGAAAGGGTCTCGGTCAGTTCTTCCTTGAAGGAAAGGTTAAGGACAGGTCTTGTTGTAACATTTGAAGTAATATCTGCACAGCTTTAACTACTTCCAGTGGAGTTTCAGTGGTGTTTTCGGTTGGGACTGCAGGAGGTTCAAGATCTAGAGAGTCAAATACAGAATCAAATAATGAGTCGAGGGTTGCAAAAGGAGAACTTGGTTTAACACTGGCAGGCATGCTAGGCGTAGCCGAATCTCTCTTCACCTGAACTATTTTTTTGGGTTAGTTCAAAACACCTTCAAGTCTAAGAAGACATATTAAGGAAAATTACAACTTACTTCCTCATAATCTCCTATTTGTTCATTCACTGAGGCTGCAGCTAGGTGTTCAGCAGAGACTGGAGAAATTATCTTTTCAGGGAACCTTTGTCCTTTTTCTACTGACATTTCAATCTTTTCTCCTTCAACACTGTTCAAAGTAACCTCTGGACCTATATTTTATTCTGAAGATAGTGGAGTTTTCTAAAAATAATGCCGATTTAGTCATAATATTTGAACAATGATACAGTATAAAAATTAGGCATCAAGAAACGTTACATGGGAAGCTTTAGTGTCAGGTTTCTTTTTCTTGGACACCACTTCATCTTCATCTACTTCATCATCATCAAGCGGGATGAATTATCTTTTGGCTCTCGATTTTGTAATAGGTTTTCTTCCCACAATTTTCCTTCTTGTTTTTCCTTAGAATAAACGTATTAGCAGGTAAATGATATGCATAAAAAAAATGGTTATGATTATGAGCATTACCTGAGTAGTAGTTATAGGAGGGATACTTTGAAGAGGAACATAGAAATCAATTGGAGCTGATTCTGACACGGTTGGGACTCCTTCAGGTGTAGAGGGTGGAACACCTGAATTTCAAATAATAACAAATCTATGCTAAAAGTAGATATAATTATTGATGAGGTACGGATAGGATCACAACTTACTTTGCCGAGAGCGTGATCTGGTCCTAGCCGCAGGAGCTATAAAAGGAGTTTGACTTACTGGCTGGATAGGTTTAGAATCAAGAATGGGTGCTGTGTTTAAGAGAAATGGATGGAATTGATTCACCTCCTTGAAATGCTAAAGAGATGAATTTGTACGAGCCCAGGAGGATGTGTACAAGGGGGGTGGACTCCTATATTCTGGTTTGATTGATATATGCCATCCACTAGCTTTCAAAGCTTGGATCGACATATGGTTCTTCTTGAAAAAACTTATATTTAAACTCTTGCAAGAGTTGATGGAAACGATTGTTCCCATCTGTGATTTGATCATCATTTGCTAATTTCACTCTTCGATGATAGTTCTAGTTATAAGAGAAATATGGAGGTACTAGGATCATTTAAGTTAGGCCAAATTGTCTAGCTAATTGAGATGGATTATAAAATTCTACACCAGTCCTACTCTTCGCAAGATAAGGAGCAACGGTGTTGCAAGATATATCTCTCACAATCAAAAAGTGACCCCAAAACATTTGGTACATTTCTTTTTGTTCTGCTGAAGCATCAGCGATGGGAGGCAACAACCAAGATGGGGCAAGATGACCTTTTGTGAAAAGGGAGAAATTGTGATTTAGTTCTATTTTTGCACTAATGATAGAAGAAGTGAAAACAGTCGGGAAAGGAATGATCTTTGGGTTTTGATTTGGCAAAACCAAATGATACTAAAGGGTCATCGGCAGCGAATTATTTCTTAGGAGCTACTTTAGGGAAATATGCATACAACCAAAATTGAAATAGCCAAAGGGGTCCTCTAGATCTGGCAAAGTTGGAGGAAATAAGGTCTGATAATCCTCTGTACAAAGAAGCTAAGAGAAAAGGTGCAAGGGCCATGGTCCTTCCTTTGGACAACGCAATGGCCAATTGAGTGAGGTCTTTTGTGATCTATATAGCAGGTGCGTAGAGCAAATGTCTACACAACCATAGTAACAAAAACCCTATGTGTTCTTGTTCACTAACCTCAGTCCCTGTTTTCCCTATCATTCCTTTTAGAAATGGACCATGTGATTAAACATGGGGTTTAGAGCCTTTCTGCTCTTGAAAGCAGAAAGTAGTTTCTGAGTCATAGAGGAGATAATTTATATCATCTCCTCTAGGTTTAAGACCTGCCAAAAAGCACATATCTCGTAATGTAGGGGCCATCATACCATAATGCAAATGTAATGAGTTCGTGGTAGGGGACCAAAATTGCGTGGAAGCAAAAAGTAATGGTTTATCTTGATTCAGAGAGATCTTACTGAGTTGAATGATGTCGAATATACCCATCTGCTTCCACAAATCACCCTTTGCTGCTGAAATGCGATCAACCCATTCATTCCACTAGGGCATAGGAGGATGCCAATTTCTGACAGAGAGAGCTGCCCTTTCCCTTTCGGAGGTAAGATATATTGGTTTTGCAAATGGAAGTTGTTTTTTAGCTTGAGGGTAGAACGATGAAAGGGGTGGAGGCAATCAATTGCTAAACGCTGGGCAAAGCCCCTTAGCGTTGTCTGTAATATCGATTAAGGTTGTAGTTTCAATTTCAGTGGTGTCTAAGGTTTTGACAACTGATTTCGTCATTTGGGTGTGTGAAGTTGGTTTTGCAAACGGGGTCTTTAGGTTCAAATCTGAATTTGGTTTTGGATTCCTTGAAGTCCTAATTACAGAAAGTGTTCAATAGAGAGAAATTTGGAGGAGAAAGAAGTATGTTTGCACTGAAGAGTTTGAAAGATGAAGGTGTTTTGATGGAAGAGCCGTGTGTGGTTGGAAGATGAAAAGGATTACTGCGATAATTAATGAGCGATAAGACGGGTTAGCATGATCGACATTTTTGGGGAACTGAATCAAGATACAATTCAAGGGATTAGGATTATAAGGTGTATGCAAAGTTATGATACAATGGGTGTTGTTTGAATTTTGGAAGCCGAAGGGTTAAAACGGCTACCAAAATTGGGGGGCATTGTTGACACCCATTTTGGTAATTGGGTTTAGGCTCCAATTGGGCTTGGTGAACAGTGACATAGTGATATGGGCTAAGAATGCAAAGCCTCATGAATGATGATGTTTTAAAAGCTTGGGTTGTACAAATATTAGGCTGAAGAATATTACAATTGGGCTGGATATATAGTGGTATGGCTTGGTTGGTGAGAAGAGGTCCGACTGGGTATATGGAGTATATAGGCCAACTACATGGTTCAGCTTTGATTGAAGGAAGTATTGACAACTCCACATGGAATCCGAATTGCATGCAAAGACTTATTTTAAATTAGATGATAGATAGAGTTTGTAATTATTGTTTTATCTTTTATTTAGGTACAGTTAAGTATTAAGGTTATCTATAGTTTAATTTAATTTGAATTGTCGTATGGTTGTGATTAGAATTTTACTACAAGTAAGATGCTTGTATGTAAGGTTTAGTTGTTATGATTTATTCTATAAATAATCAAAAAGGCATGCTAGACTAGAGGTCCAGCTCACTCAGAAACATTTAATTATTGTTATTGCCTTCCCAAGCTCTTTCCCAAAATAACATCCTTACTATTTCTCTCTCTATCTCTTTTATTACCTCTCAATCTCTCTCCATCTCAATCTCAATCTCTATTCTTTCTATATATATTTCTCTCCTCTTTCTACTCTCCTTTCTATATCTATTTTTTTCCCATTTCTATTCTCTTGATAGTTACTATAATTTATTCATTGAAAAGTCCTTTTAACAATTAGAACTCATTAAAGAGTATTTTTGTTCTCTTTCTCTTATAATCACCTGAAAGTCAATTTCTCAAAAAGCCTGCAAGTTGATTATTAACAATTGAACCATATATTTGGCTCTGACACGCCCGTTTTCCATCAATTTAAAATCGGCTCCAGTCGGCCGATTTTAGCGTCAACAACATCATTCATATATATATAGATACATATAATTTAAAATTATAAATATATAAAAAACGGAGTTATGATTTTGGTTCCCATTGATGACACCTCAATTTAAAACTAATCTTAATTAACTCTGGTTTTGAACTTCTTCATTTTTTTTTTTGAAACGAAGAGCAACTCTATTGTAAAATGATTGTTCAATTCTGTCAAATACCGAGTTTATTTTGGATTGTTTCGTTGACCACTTGAGCCGTGCAAATTGCACCGAGTGATTGTAGGTTTACAATGTGCAACATAATACGTCATTTTATTTGCATCTCCTTCTAGCCTAATGTTCACTTATTATGTAAAGGGTAGTAATTAAATTGGTGCTGGTACAGCCTTTGCTTCATTGAATATCTGGACCTAGGATCCAATTCTGCAAACCAATTCAGGGTGATGATAAATTGAAGCACATACAGCCCTTATGAGGTGAAATATATGTTATCACAGCTCTCAACGTTTAAACAACCCATAACCTCTCCCCACATTATAGTTGGGTTCACGTAAGAAATGAGATGAGAACAAGAACTGCATACCAAAATTCACAAGAAATTACAGTTCATCCTCAACAATATTCCCTGAACAGTCATCATCACCACCTAAACCCAATCTTCTTACATCCAAAATCTTTCAAACAGAGCTCTAATTGTTGCCCCAAAGAAAGCATACCAACTCCTTCACATTGGTCTTATCATATAAGAAATTGCATCTCACAAGGGGTGCCCAAAGAGGCCCTTCTCATATATAATCGAGTTCGCCGTAACGGAATTTATTTATTGGGTGTGATCCCGTTAATTCTAAAAGCTTGTGCTTCACTTTCCGTAGTTCAGCATGGTAAGGCTTTGCATACTGAATCCATCAAAGTGGGGGTGGAGAGTGATGTAATGGTGGGGACTTCATTGGTTGACATGTATGCAAAATGTGGTAGTATTGTGGACTCTCGCCATGTGTTTGATTGTATGCCTGAGAGAAATGTTGTGACATGGAATGCAATGATAGGAGGGTATACGAGGAATAGTGATGCGAAATCAGCATCGGTTTTGTTTGAAAAGATGCCAACAAGAACTGGGGTGTCGTGGATTGAAATGATTTCCGGGTTTGCTAGGATTGGAGATATGGTGATTGCTAGACAATTGTTTGATCGCGTTCCACCGGAGTTGAGGAATGTGGTGACATGGACAGTCTTGGTTGATGGGTATGCCAAGAATGGGGAGATGGAGGCTGCAAAGGAAGCTTTTGAGGCAATGCCACAAAGGAATTTCTTTGTCTGGTCATCAATGATTTATGGGTATTGCAAGAAGGGTGACATTCAAGCAGCCAAGGGTATTTTCGATAGAATTCCAGTCCGGAATTTGGTAAATTGGAATTCTCTAATTTCTGGGTATGCTCAAAATGGGTTTTGTGAGGAAGCATTGGAAGCATTTTCCAAAATGCAAGCTGAGGGATTTGAGCCAGATGAAGTTACATTGGCAAGTGTTTTATCTGCTTGTGCTCATTTAGGTTTGATGGATGTTGGTAAAGAAATTCACCAATTGATAATTCATAAAAGAATCAAACCTAATCAGTTTGTTCTAAATGGATTGATTGACATGTATGCGAAATGTGGGGATTTGGGCAATGCAAGATCAATCTTTGAAGGGATGTTTCATAGGAACGATGCTTGTTGGAATGCTATGATCTCGGGTTTTGCTATTCATGGCCAATTTAGAGAGGCTCTTGTGCTCTTTGGCAGGATGGAGAATTCTGGTGTGAAGCCCAATGACATAACCTTTGTCTCCATTCTATCAGCTTGTGCACATGGAGGTTTAGTGAAGGAAGGGTTAGAAATTTTCTCTAAAATGGAGAAATATGGTTTAACAGCTACCATCAAGCACTATGGGTGTGTAATTGACCTTTTGGGACGAGCTGGAAAACTAGAAGAGGCTTTTTTCTATTTGATTAGGAGAATGCCAGTTAAACCAAATGACACTGTTTGGGGGGCATTACTTGGAGCATGCAGAATACACTCTGACATGGAAATGGCTAACAGGGTGCTGGAAGAGGTTGACAAAGCAGATCCTGGCACGGGTTGTGATGATTATTCACGTTATGTGCTGCTGTCTAATATTTATGCAGCTGCGGATAAATGGGAGAAGGCTGAAAGGATGAGGAAGGATACAGTGAATGAAGGGTTTCAAAAGACACCTGGGTATAGTTCAATTTTGCTCACTGATAACAAGCACCAGGTGACTAATCAGCTGTAACCAGACCAGTACACCTCCTGTCAAGAATTATGCCAAAGCTCATATATCGCGAGATTATCCCTCAAAAAGAGGTAGCGTTTTCGCATTCCTCTTCTGCTTTCTGATGCAACCAGGTGTCACAAGGGTCCCGAACCCCGTAACACAAGGACACAACCAGCTGAATCATTATGCACCGTGCAGAGAATGATTCTCAATGTTGAATTATGAAAGTGGTTCCAAAAAAATTTGAAAGAGCTGGAACCTGATTTTTTCTAGCTGTGAGAACGAACTGGAGGGATAGTTCCAACAAATAGGCAATCCTGGTTCAATCCATGGCAACAACACCAACATATAAAAGGAAAATATCAATTCAATTGTATTGTACATACTGTACTTCTTCTACTGACATAAATTGTATTGTAGTAATTATGCAATTTCAATTCATAGATATTTCTCAATGAGATGATCGGAAGAGTGAGCTGTTCTTTTCAAATCCTAGTGCCTCTTCATTGAAGATCAGCATAAATCAAAATGACTTTGATTATTTGATGATATCTAAGACCTTGGATATGAAGCCTGTGACTGTAGGGTAAATGTTGATGCCATTTGCAATTAGAGTGAACAAATAGGAGGGGTGATTTCTAGCAGCAATTTTGGCGAACCAAGCATATCTAGGTTCAGCTCATACTGGTATGACTTTCTTACAGTGTTTTGCTACTTCCTCATTAAAAACCGAGATAGATTATATTTGATAAAAGACACACGAATAATGTGAGATTGGTTGATCTGTGTAAGCGAACGTGTCATGGATTAATGTCATTTATAGCTAGTTTGCTTCTGAACATTTTTCCTATCTCTTTATGTTGACAAAGCTATTGGTTTACTGCCCAAAAGTAGTACATGTACGTGTATGTGCGTGTGTCTGTGTCTCTGCGTGTGTGTGTGTATCCGCGTGTAATGTTGCTATGCAGATGAAATTCAGGGTTCCAAATGGTTTTTACCGTACCCTTGTTTAGCATTGCAGGCACCACAATGCTCTCTTGATTTGCTGATGGTTTACCTACAAAGAATCAAATTTTAGTCATCGTTGATCGATTAGTAGACTTGAATTGACTAAGTTCAAAGAGTTCAAATCATGTTTCGAGAGGTCGATCTGTTCTAGATCATTATGAGGAAATACAAATCCCATTGATCCTATGTCTACTAATGTAACAAAACAAAGAATGAGATTAAAAATGTTCTTGGACATGAATTAAAAAAAAAATGGGCAAAAGGAATAATGAAAAGAACTTGAATGTTTCTTGAACTCACAAAGATCCTAAGCTGTTGAACTATAAGATTTACATCAATGGTTTTAAGCTATGAAAAGTTAAGTAAACAAGAAGTGCTTTTATAATGGATTAGGCTTAGTTTTGGCCTTTTTGTTTTGGTTTCTAGGGGTAAAAGTGTTTCTAGTCTAAAAACTTTAAGTTTAATAAGGAGTGGTCACCTCGTATTGTATTCAAATAATATTGGTTTAATGGTCATTTTGACGAGTCCTTTTTTTTTTTCTTTCCTTTTTATCTTTTTTTTTATGTCCATAAATTAAGCCTAAGTTTGGTTTGATAGGTAGTAATGTTTGAGTTTTTTTAAACATTTCATTCTGGTTTATTTATTTATTTATTATTATTTTTTTTTAATATAATACTAATAATACTAATAATAATAATATTATTAGTATTATTATTATGGTCACATCCCATTCTAAGTTACTCTCAAGCAAAAGTAGGTACATGTGGAAAAATTCTAGTATATTCCGGGTACTGTATCTTCGAATTTTTCAACCGTTGGATGTGGCGGTGCTCACTTGATGAATGATACAATAATTGGGAGAACTAGAGAACTGTACCCTAAATAGAATCAACCCTATATTAAGTAGGTTATACGTGACCGTATATATTTTACACAAAATGATATTTTAATAGACTGTTGGAGATGGTCTTAGGTGTTTCGTGACACAATATAATAAGTAATTTTCATAATTAAATTATTTTTTAATTTATTTGGTAACAAATTTTTTTTAAACACTTATTAAGGAAGGAGTTTAATTATCTTGATCAAAAATTAAAAAGACAAATTATTTAACGAAAAAAAATTACCTAAAATATTCTAACTCTATTCAAAACGAAAGCTCAAAATTTTCAAAGAAGTTAGAATTATAATGTAGTGATATCAACTCCATTTCCTAAAAGGAGAATGAATTTAATATTACCTAATACATATTTGGTGATTTTAATATTACCTAATACAGATTAAAAGTCGTTGTTGGACACCGGCATTACTCCACGTATAAATATTGGTAACCCTACTAACTTACAAAACCCCATGTCTCAAAATCTAAACCCCTCTTTCACGCTTAAAGCCTAACACTACTCTAAAAGAAGCTAAAAATGGCATACATTAATACTGTTCAAACCCCTTATACTGTTCAAAACCCTTATACGATTCAGTTGCGTAAAGGCAACAATAACAACAACAATAGAAGACATTCTGAAGGATTTAATGCTTGAAGTACTATCAAGATTACCGTTCAAAACCCTTCTACAATTGAGGTGCGTATCAAAATCATGGCGTGCCCTAATCGACAGCCCATATTTCATCAAATCACATCTAAATCGATACATGGTGACCAACACCAACCTCAACCTGATTTGGTGTCCAAAAAAAATACCAACAGAAACAAATCATGATTTATTGGGGTTAAACTCCATAGAAATTGATTCTCTAGATCATTCTGTAGACCTTGACAACCCCATAAAGAGCGGGGAAAGTGGGGAAAGTAAAATTCGACTAATTCAAGGGTCTTGCAATGGCTTGCTATATTTGACCTCCAAGTTCTCCAACTCAGAGGAACTCATTGCCTTGTGGAACCCATCGACCCGAAAGCACCAGATGTTGATGGTCGCATCGATTGAGCTCACAAGAGAACGTTCCACTTATCGGGCTATCGTGTTTGGGTTTGGGTATGATTGTGTCCATGATGATTACAAGGTAGTGAGGATGGTGGAGTTTTATGGAAAAGATAATGATTCATTTGAGTCTGAAGTTGTTGTTTACAATCTCAAGTCGAATTTATAGCGAAGAATTCAAGATTTTCCTTATTATCTATGGTACCCTACAGAGAAAGGTGAGTTTGCTAGTGGGGCTTTGCACTGGGTTGTGCGTCCAAAACCGGAATCCGATAAGTCCAGGTTGATTGCTGCTTTTGATCTTGGGGATAAGGAATATCGGTTGGTGCCACAGCTTGATTATTCCGTTGTAAATTTGCATATGAATGTAGTGGTTCTAGAAGGATGTCTTTGTCTAGTTTGCAACTATGTCAGTGTTCATGTTGACATATGGGTGATGAAGGAGTATGGAGTTAAGGAGTCTTGGACTAAATTATTTTCTGTTGCGCAACCCACTACTATTGAGAAGTTTGATTGGGTGTGGCCTTTGGCTTATTCACATAGCCATAAGAAAGTACTAATGGAACAGGATAATAAAAGGCTTCTTTGGTATGACCTAGAAAAGAAAACAGTCGAATATATTGAGATTCATGAAGTAGAGTATGTAACTTTCGCAGATTTTTATTATTAAAGCCCTTGTGGGCATTTCTTCATGTTAGGATTTATATGCCCTAGCATAGCAAATTCCTATTTGGATTATAGGGACATATGTTCCTGACATTTTTAAAATATTTATACTTTATACAATTGGTGAATTCAATGTATTATGTTTCGATTCATTATGGAATTGATAATGTCCACTTGATTATAAGAGATATTTATATATGTATGTGATGGCGATCAATACATGAATATAAATAGTAATTATAAATTGTTCATAGTCGGTAATTATGGATGGACTCATAATTAATTAAAATTTGAACTGGATCCGCTTTAGGTTGAGATATATTGCGAGAGCCGTCGTATGCAATTGCTTCCTATCACCGTCATGGCATTTGACTCTTAAGTATGAGAAAAGTATAAACTCTTTTATTAATTAATAATTATTTTGATTTGTTCGGCAGATACTTCGGGATCCTTACACCGACACTTTGGGTAGTTATGTAATTAATAGTTAGAGGGTTATATTTTCAATATTTGCATTATTGCTACTTGTATTTATTTTGTATTGATTATGGTTGATCACAAAGTAAATTCGAAGGCCTTCGTGTGTTTTTAGACAAAATGATTTATTATATATTTAGTTATTTAAATTATTATTTTTGTCAAACAAATGTTTTATTGTGATCAAGCCGGAAATAATCAAAGGTACCAAAATAAATATATTAATTAAGTAGTCGGATTGATGGTCTTATTTATCCGATAACTAATTATTCATAGAGGGGTCAAAGTGCAACATTGACTTAGAGGTTATTTATTATTTAATTGGAGTTCAGTTAATTTCTTTTAGTGGAGTAGAAATTAATTTATGAATTAATTGAATTGGGTCCATGGATCGGGCCAATTATTAATTCATTGTAACCAATAAAATAATAAGCCCAAATGATTCTCACTCATAGCCCAACTTGATATTAGAATCCTATTAGATTTGAGACATGTGAATTAAAGATTGAGAAGGATTTATTGTTTCTTTTTCCTTATCTTTATATTGCCTATATATATAGATGGTCTATGTATATTTTGGGGGTGAATTTTGGAAGAAGGAAAAATGAATCTATTTTCTCTCTCTAGAAAATTAGGGTTAATGTTCTCATCTAATAGAGGTTCCCAAAAGCCTAATTTTCCAAGGTCATTCATGGTGGCTTATGGGTGATTCCTAAAGGCAAAACAATTACCAAGACGATGAAGATCCAATGAGAAGTCATCTTGCTAAGGGGTCTACAATAAGTAAGAATATTCACTTTAAATGAAAGATTTAAAGGTTTACTCAGACCTTTGATGCAAGTATTCAATCTATTAATTGAATGAAACATCATATTTTATTTTTGCATAAAACTTGTCTTTATGTGATGAATCAAAATCTATGAATCAAAATCTCTCGAAAAGTTTTTAAAACTTTCACGTTTCCCAACAGTGGTATCAGAGCATGGTTTGATTCATTACTAGAGATCATATTTTTATCAAAATTCATCATTTATGGATCCGATTTTGATATGCATATATTTATTTATTGATGTATGTTGATGTATGAATTAATATATTGATATGTACTGATACATGATGAAGTATGTATAATTGTGAATGGATGATGATGTTTGTTTGGGCCATGGATAAAGCTAATAGGTTAATTGAATGTAATTTTATCTTTGGATGAATGTAATTAATGTTTTGATTTAGCCGTTTGAAAGTTCAATGATGTAATTTAATTTTTTCTAGTGTATTTCAAATTTTAAATTTATTTAAAGCCATGCAATCTTCATCAAAGGATGCTATGAAGCTTCAAGAAGGTCCAAAAGGGTTAAATTAGGCTTCAGGAATTTTCTAAAATTTTTCTGGAATTTTTTTAGAATTTTCTAGAATTTTTTGGGCTTAATTTAATTTTCTGGGAATTTTTATTAATTTTCTGGATTTTTTTCGGCGATTTTTCGGCGATCGGAGTTTTGCCGGCGGCAAGAGTCATTGCCGGAAGAGGACGCGGGATCCAGTGCATCGCGATACGCAATATTACCAAACAACCGCATTCATAACCTCTGGATCAAATCAAGTGGAGAGAGATGATTCGGTGTGGTAGCATCCAAACAGCGCGTGAGGAGTACGCGCTATGAAACCGGCAACAAGTCAGCGCTTCAGGCGCGTGAACTACACGCACTGACCAAGTCAGCGCCTCAAGACGCGTGAGGAGCACGCACAGATTGAATGCGGCGCCTTCAGGCGGGTGGAACGCCACACGTGCGTGGGGGCGTGGAACGCGCTGCAGGCACATGGGAAAGCGTGGCACGCGCTGGGAACCTTCCTAAGCGCGTGTATGCACGTGGGATGTGCTTTGAGGCGTCCGATAGTGTTCGGTGACGCGTAGGGTCAGGTTACAACCTCCTGAAGGTGTACATAAGCTTTTGATTGACCCTCGTGCAATAGTTAGACCAATTAAATGTTAAAAGCTAAATCCATTGGCCATTTAATTTGCTTTATCTGTCATTTATTTGTTTATGTGATGTATGAAATAATTAATTGCTAATTATTATTGTTCATGCATAGGATCCATGATTTTTTTATCTAAATGACTTGATTTATATTAATTAAATTATGAATATAAATTGGATTTGATTGCTAATTAATTTGAGGGCATTTATTGGGAAATGAAAAATTATTTTTATAAATTATTTTAAAATAATGCCTCAAATTAAATATTAGTGAATCATTTAAAATTTAGATATTTTATAAATTTAATTGGATTAAAATCAAGGCGTTTTGCATGCATTAAATCATGAATTGAAAACCCTAATTATATATAATTAAAAAAATTGAGTGGGAGCGGGGATTTTTATACATTACCCCATGGCCTTCGTTATTATACCCATTATAATTAGATCTTTAAAAATAAGGCCCTACGCATGATTTGAAGAGTCTGAGATTACAAGAATGGTTGTCTCATAAAAATAAAAATATTAAATGTCTATTGGAATTAGATCTTTAAAGACAAGGCCCTACGCATGATTTAAAGAGTCTAGATTATAATGACAAGATATTTAATGTTTTATTTTTCATTAGAGCTTTAATAATATTATACACTCAATCTAAAATCAATAGTGTTAGCTCCCCAACAGAGTGGTCTACACTAGGTGATTTTTGAAAGGCAAAACAAAATCGGGAATCATTTCATATAGATAGACAAGGCATTGTCTTAAGAGATATGGAAATGATGGGATTTGCCCGCCAATAGTAATAATGAACTTCGCCAACCGAATAAGTTATGAGCGTATTGGTTATCTGATTTTTCATGCAGTGGTTAAGGGACCCACATACTATTTTAATGGAAGTGCTCGCCTAATAGCAAACGAATCTCAGCAATAGTAATAATGAACTCCTCCATCAGGATAAGTTATTGAGTTATTGATTGTATGATTTATTATGCTACGAAGTTGAGGGACCCGCATTAATTAAAAGGGATTGTTCACCAATAATGATAATGATCTCTTATTCTATTTGAGATTTATTATATTATGTGGTTAATAAATTCATTTTAATTTTAAATATGCATGATAATATTAATAATTCACCTTGAATATTGTATGAATGCATTTATATTCAAATTAATTATGTATAATCCATTTTATCTGCTTACTAACATATTCAATGTATTTGGACCTCATTTATACGGACTGGAAAAGGAACTTACATATTTTACTCACAACATAAGGGTACATAATGTATTTTTTACTCCTAAACCTAATCATTTACTTTAAGATACCTAATGAGATGTTTTAGTAAGATTAGTTAGAGCGTATCCCTACGTATTATGTCAGACTTGAACACCATTAAGATAGCCTGAGGAACTCCAGTATGATATCGGATTTTGAAAAATGATTATTTATTATTTAAAAATTTAACTGACGGTCAATAAGGCTGACTTGGGTGGTAAGTTTCAAATTGACATGATTATTGCATTGTTACCAAACTCATTTGACTTTTTTAGAGTGAACTGAATAAGGAACCAGTTTGAGTTTACATTCGCTGATATTCTTATAGAATTGGTAACAGATGAAGGGATAATCAAAAGTATAGGCGTTCCTGTTAATCTAACCTAGTTTATACCATCTTCTTCTAGGCCCAAGTGGAGAAGGGTAAAGCAAAGAAGAAGGATGATAATAAGACTAGGCTAGCACAAAACATTGGTATCCAAAAGGTTAAAGGGAATAAGTGGGAGTATTACATCTGAAATTAGAGAGTTTGAGGATATGAGTATTAGAGAACTATCTTTATGTACAGATGTTAGACGCAATCTAATTCTTGTTTCACTTTTGGTTTATAAAAACTGTGTTATTATTTTGTAAAACTGGTTTTATCAAATTGAATAGATGTGCGATTATTTCTAGTGCATTGAAAAATGGTTAATATACTATAACCACAAGCTCATAAAATTTGCAGGATGTAATATGTATACATTTTTCATGACTAATTGCTTTATTAGTTCATTCCTTCTTATCATTCTGTACTGTGATTGGAGTTGTGTGACCTTGGTTGTCGGGATTGTGTGTGAGCTTGATCTGATGTCTTGACTCCTAGGCGTAGCCTTGTAGTAGGTCAGCTTTTGGATGACGTGGAGGATTTTGGGTGCATTGTCTTGGTGAAAGTCATTGTGACTGGGGTGATGGCGATGTTGTTAGATTTGTAAAGTCCATTCTATTGGCTTGAGGGTATAGATTTGTCAGGCTTTGGATTCGTGACTGGTGTGGTTGACAATGATGTATTGAGACTTGGGGTTGTCAGTTTTCCAGTATTGAGAATTTAAGGTCTTAAGCGTAACGGTGCCCATGACATTGTTATCAGAGTTTTAGGATTGGCCAGAATGGTCCGGCCGGACATCCTTGGACCATATCTCAACTCTCACAAAATGCCTGGTTCTCATGGTGCTTTTGGTAATGACTATTTTGACATTGATG